TCCATCCATCCATCCGCCCAGCCACCTGTCCATCCATCCATCCATCCATCCATCCATCCATCCATCCATCCATCCACCCACCCACCCACCTATCCATCCACTGCACAAGCAAGAAGCCAGAAAGTTACCCTTGATACCTCCCTTTCTTTTACAACTCACATAAATTAGATAAGACCTGTCAGCGTTACCTTTGAAAGGACTCTCAAATCACTCTTTGCCTTCTCTCCATCTCCATTGCCACCGCTTGAGTTGGAGCTACGATGGTCTCTTCCCTGGATGACTGCCATAACTTCCTACCTGGTTTTCATGTTTCCACTCTCTCTTTGCTCATTTTCTCTTCTTCGTACTGCATCCAAATGTTCTGTTTCATAAGCACACCTGATCTCACCCCACTCCTCTCTCACGGAAAACATCGTACTGACTTTCGTTTATGTGGAGGGTAAGTATAAAAATTCTTAATTTGCCCACCGGCCTCAGGGGGATCTGGCTTATTTCTGTCTCTACAACCTCATCTCACACCAGAACACCCCCTCACTGTGAGAATGTCAGTCAGGTTGTCTCCTACCTCTGGGCCTTTGCACAGGCCACTCTCCCTGACCGTGCTAACACCTGAAGGGAAAGATTCGCATACCCCGCAGACGAGGTCAGGACCAGGTATTGTGCATTCACAGAGCCTGGCGTGTTCCTCCGCTGGTAATGGTGGGTTTACTTGTGCAGATTATTTGACTGGTGCTTCTCTCCTGCACTAGACTGTAACCTGAGTTGGGGCAAGGACGATGAGTGGCTCACCATCGCCACCCAGACACCTAGCACATGCCTGCCTGCTGCAGAGTAGGAGCTCAAGCACTTTTTAAAATGAATATTACCGCCATCATGTGATTATACCATAATTTACTCCACTAGTTCCCTGTGCTTGGAAATTGAGACTGTTTCCACGTTTCCACTTTTATAAACACCACAGTGAATATCCTTACAGATAAATTATTGCCCACATTTTTAATACTTTGACACAGATATTACCAGTGGAATTGCCGTATTGAGACTTTTGACACATTTTCAGTTTCTCCATTGACAAAGAGTGTGTCAAGTAAGATTTCAAACTGTGCTGTGTGAATAAGCCCCTTTTGCTTCATCCTCAGCAAGTGTAAGCAGTATCTTATTTTTTTCCAGTTGGGGAAATGATCAAAATGATCACTGCTCTAAATATGCACTCCTGTTTTCTTATAGTGTTACAAGGTTTTGTTTTTTACATTGGGAGGCAGTTTAATATAGTGCAGGTGTTGGAATCAGTTTTTCAATACTTTTTTCATCTAGGAGTTTAATATACTTTACATTTATTCCAAGTTTCCTTTATGTACTTCAGTAACATTTAATATTTTTCTTCAATATGTGGGCCACACATTTATTAATTAAATTTTTTTTGTTGGGTAATGAAGAAAAAACCAGCAGAAAGCATTCTTTCATTGATAAAATCAAGTAAACTGATTTAAAGAAATGTAAAGTACTCTAGGCTGGGCATGGTGGCTCACACCTGTAATCCCAGCAGTTTGGGAGGTTGAGGTGGGCAGATTGCTTGAGTCCAGGAGTTCGAGACCAGTCTGGGCAACGTAGTGAGACCCCTTCTCTACAAAAAATACAAAACATTAGCCAGGCGTGGTGGTGTGTGCCTGTAATCCCAGCTACTTGGGAGGCTCAGGTGAGAGGATTACTTGAGCCCGCCCAACAGGCCAATGTTGCAGTGAGCCAAGATGGCACCACCGCACTCCAGCCTGGGCAACAGAGCAAGATCATGTATCAAAAAAGAAAAGAAAACATACTCTATAGGCTTTCAGAAGGAGTGTCTATCTCATCAGGTTGTTCTATAGATGAACAAGTCAGTCTGTAATTGATTACATTAATACATATAAGACATTTTGACCAGTGCCTGGCACAGCATATAATAAGCACTCAATAGACAGTTGCCTTCATTATTATCAGATGTATTCAAAATATCACACTCTCCAAGGCACTATTGAAAAACGATCTGCCACTGTAACCTAATAATATATAATATGTGTTTATTATTAGACAGAAATTTTTAATAGAGAAAGAATTACTACTTAATTTTCTATAAAACCACAGTGCAAAGACATCTTGGTATGCATGGAAAGGTAAAATGAGATAAGCTGAAGACAGCAAATGCATATGAAAGCCTCTTGTCAGATGAGGACTTCAGTATAAAACCAGAACATTTCAAATCGTCTTTATCTTTTGTGTCATATGACATTGTGAAACTTAGAATGACTTCTCTCAGCAACACTCACAGCATGCTTGTCCTATTGCAGGAGATGTTCGGAATGACATTTATGTCACCCTGATCCATGGCGAGTTTGACAAAGGGAAGAAGAAGACGCCAAAGAATGTGGAGGTGACGATGTCTGTGCACGATGAGGAAGGCAAGCTCTTGGAGGTGCGCGGTGTGGCCCAGAAATCCTGCTGCCATCACATCCATCTTTACAATCACCATAGACTTTTGGCTGTATTTTAATTCTTTGCATCAGGATAGGTTTGGGTTTTCCTGAGAAAAGAAATATAAAGACTTTTAAATTTATGATTAGCAATGAGCAGTTTCACTAAGGAAGCTATCTAGACTCTTATTTTTATATTTCTCCTGTGCTAAGAAATAGCTCCAGCCCCTAGTGATTTTATGTGTAAGCTTCCAATGCAGAGGTTATTTATCATTTTCAACTTATTTTGCCACTTTCAAGCTTGATCAGTTACTCTGAGGCTTCAGCTAAGTGGCCTGGTTGCTCGAATAGCATCAGAAAGCACGTTTCCTTCCCTGGGTGAGCCGAACCAAAGAACATGCGCTCATCAGAGACTGAAACTGGAAGATCCGTTGGGTAGGCATCTGCTACCACTGCTCTTTAGTGTTTTTTGTTTGTTTGTTTTGTTTTGTTTTGAGACAGAGTCCCGCTCTGTTGCCCAGGCTGGAGTGCAGTGGCGCGATCTCGGCTCACTGCAAACTCCGCCTCCCGGGTTCACGCCATTCTCCTGCCTCAGCTTCCTGAGTAGCTGGGACTACAGGCGCCCGCCACCATGCCCGGCTAATTTTTTTGTATTTTTAGGAGAGAGGGTTTCACCGTGTTAGCCAGGATAGTCTCGATCTCCTGACCTTGTGATCTGCCCACCTCAGCCTCCCAAAGTGTTGAGATTACAGGCGTGAGCCACCGTGCCCAGCCTGCTTTTTAGTTTTAATGAACAGGAAACTGTTAGAAACTTTAAAAGGAAGAGTTATTTTCTCTAGAAACACAGGCATTAGTGGCAGAGCTGGGAGGGTATCCAAGTATCCTGAATTCAAGTCCAGAGTTCCTCCAGCTCTGGCAGCTTTTCTTTCTTTTTCTTTTCTTTTTTTTTTTTTTGATGGACGCTCACACTGTCGCCCAGGCTGGAGTGCAGTGGCAGAATCTGTGCTTGCTGCAACCTCTGCCTCCCAGGTTCAACCAATTCTCCTGCCTCAGCCTCCCAAGTAGCTGAGATTACAGGTACCCGCCACCACACTCAACTAATTTTTTTGTATTTTTAGTAGAGACGGGGTTTCACTATGTTAGCCAGGCTGGGTTCAAACTCCTGACCTCGTGATCTGCTCACTTCAGCCTCCCAAAGTGCTGGAATTACAGGCATGAGCCACCATGTGCAGCCT